ATTACACTGTTTATTATCATAGCATCAGCATCAGAAGTAGATGAAGCAAATAAAAGCTCCAAATCCAAAACAGGATTAAGAAAGATTAGTGGTCGTTAAGAGCAGAGTCACACAACTGGTTTCCTTTGTAGATGCTACCAACTGTTTTGAAATCCAGTATACTTAAAAATAGATCTTTAAAGATGTAAGACAAATTTTACAATGCTTCCCTTGGCCCAGTTTTCCACCAAGCCCCATGAAAACGCAGAAGGGGAGAGATCCTATGGAAGAATAACCACAGTTTGCAAGCATTTCTCTTCCAGAATGCTGCAACTTGGGATTCTGGTCTTTTTCTACAACTTTTTGTACTGTCAGGGAAGTAAGCAAAAGGCTCTATAGCATAGTGTGATATCTGGAATAGATTCAAAACTTAAACATCCACTATATAAGAACTCACTGGACTGGAGGCAAAGTCTTTTCCAAAAGCTCCAGTTAGAGAAGTGATTTTGCAAGGTCTGTTGACCCCTGCAACCAGCAAAAAGCTAAGCAATTAAGATGATTAAATCCTCACCAAAAACGTGCAGATTTTGAGACATTCCACCTTGTACTGGGTTTATGTGGCAGGTTTGGGGCAGCAGGGGGATAGTGGGGCTGCAGGGATGGTGTCTGTGAGAAGATACCAGAAGATGCCTCCATGTCAGACAGAGCCAGGTTTAGCTGGCTCCAAGCTGGATCAGCTGCTAGCCAAGGCTGAGCCCATCAGCAGCACTGGTGGTACCTCTGTGAGAACGTATTTAAGAACGTGCAAAAAGCATGGCACAGTAGCTGTGAGAGAAGAAGGAGAAAATGTGAGAGAAGCAACTCTGCAGATACCAAGTCAGTGAAGGAGGAGGGCGAGGAGGTGCTCCAGGTGCCAGAGCAAAGATTCCCCCACAGTGATGCAGGTTGTCCCCTGCAGCCCTTGGAGGACCACGGTGGAGCAGAGATCCACGCTGCAGCCTGTGGAGGATCCCACAGTGCAGCAGAAAGATGTGCCCTGAAGGAACTTGCAGTCCACGTAGAGCCCACGCAGGAGCAGATTTTCTAGCAGGAACTGTGGCCCACGGGGAGGAGCCCATGCAGGAGCAGGATGTTCCTGAAGGACTTTACCCCAGGGGAAGAGCCCATGATGGAGCAGTTCTTGAAGGGCTGCAGCCCATGGGAAGGACCCACGTTGGAGAAAGTTGTGAAGGACTTTATGCTGAGGCAGGGGGAAAGTGTGAGGAAGAAGGAGTGGCAGAGACAACATGTTATGAACTGACTGCAACACCCTTTCCTCATCCCCCTGCATCACTTCAGGGTACACAGAAGAGTCAGGAGTGAGGCTGAGCCTGGGAAGAAGGGAGGCGCTGGGCGGAAGGTCTTTTTAGTTTTATTTCTAACTATCCTACTCTGTTGCAACTAATGGGCAATAAATTAATTTCCTCAAACTGACTCTGTTTTGCCTGTGACGATAATAGGTAAGTGAGCTCCCGGTCCTCCTCTTGAGCCATGAGAGCTTTTCATTGTATTTTCTCCTGCCGAGCTGTTGATGGAGGGGGAATGATAGAGCAGCTTGGTGGGCACTTCGCAGCTGGGTGGATCAACAACCCACCACCCCTCTGCTGCAGTTGCTCATCTCATAAATCTTCCAGACTGTAAAAAGAAGAGTTGAGCACAGCTATGAGAGCAGCAGTCTCTAAAATAGAATTGAAATCTTTTGTGAAGATAGAGCTGCATTGATTGGATGGTGATAGGACAGTATCTGGAGTGGGAGAGTCACCTTAAAAGGGACACCATAAAATTAAAACAAGTCAAATCAGTAAAGGAAGTACTCGTATATGAAGGCAACAGTAAATGGGCAGAGACCTGAAATAAGAAGGGATTTGAATGAACTCCTGGGAAAGAGGGAGTCTGCTCTCAAACGTTTTTTTTCCCCTTCTCCCAAACATCCTGGGTCATGTGTTCTTACAGTTCTCATTTGTCATCACCAAGCACACACTCAGAATGACAAACTGGTGTGAGTAGCCTAACTTCCTTCCTAAATGAAAAGCATTCGCATGGAAAATTTCTATGATGCAATTATTGCCATTTTCATTTATTTTGATGTGCTTTATCAGTAAGAAACAAAAGCAGATACTGCAGCTTAGCTACTCAGATCCTGGTATGACCCAGATTCAGATTTGATTGCCTGTCTTTTGTAGAGTGATCTAACAAAGTTTTAAAGCTTACAGAGACAATGGGAAATCTCAGCCAAATAAAATACAAAGAGAGGGCTGGAAGCTCCAGCTTTCTCTGTTGTTCCAGCCACCCAAATCAGCTAGGACACTAAAAATATGTCTTGAATCAGTAGTGCTCTGTGTGTGAGCTGTTCGCTCAAGGAAACCCATTGCCTGTGGAAGTTACAGTGTGGCGAGCAACTATTACCTAGTTTTAAGGATGATACAAGCATTTGTGCTCCCCGTTAATTAAGAGCTCAAGAAACCTGGAAAAACTTGCTTAAAATACCGCATATCTCCCCAGCTTAGGCTTGAGGAGACAGAGGTGTGGATAGCCATGCCAGAGAAGTCAGGCCCTCCAAGTCCACCCACAGACTTGGGGCACTATGCACACTAGACCTCTCATCTAAAGCTCCTTGGGCAGAGGTAGACCTCAAACACTTAAGATGAAAAATATCACACAAACAGCAAAATTATAAGCACTTCCACATGTTTAATAAAAAAAAAAAAATTAGTGAGATCTTTCACAGCTTTCCAGAAAGTTTCGGAAGGACCAATACGGGAAAAAAAAGAAGAAAAGCAAAACATTATATAAAATCTCTCACGTTCCCCAGGAACTCCATCACCACCACAATGGAACGTTACCTCTCCTGCCCACAGAGCAGTCTACACAAACTAGAGCAACAACAACAGAATAAATTAGGAGAAATCCATGAGAAGAGTCAACAGCTTAGTAGTGTCTGTCACAGGAGAGCAACACTCAGGTACCCACCCCAACCAAGGCATTTCTCATTACGTGTCACAGCCACCCTCCCTGGTAGTGCTTGTGAACCCACTGTAAAAGTTCAGAAATTCCTTCAACAAGTTACAGTTTTGGAAAATCAAATTAAAAAAAAAATATATATATATATATTGGCTGGCACCATCAACTGTAAAGACCCTCCACCACTCACAGCTTTACGCATCTTTCTTAAGTACTTAACACGACTACTGATTTGATCAAATAGCTTCCAGGCTCCCACACACCAAGCTTTGCATATACATGGGAAATAAAAATAGTTTTCATTTTCACAAAATAAAAACAGAAGCAACGATCTTTTTTTTTCACTCTGGGGGATTTGCCAGGACTCCAAGAACAAGCCCCAAGAACTTGGAAGCTCACTCAGAGATGCCCCAGACTGCAGATGCCTCGGGCTACGGAGCACTTGTAGCTGCCTCAGACAGGAAACCAAGCAGGTTTCTGTGGCCCTTGAGCATCATTCTGTCAGGTTTTATCAAAATAAAAAGTTCTTCCTGAGTAGCTTTTTGGTTTTGATGATTTGGTAAGATAAGAGATTCGTCTGAAAAAAAATCCAATTATATTGATGGATAATATTTGGAATTTATACTACAGGACCATATTTGTCTGGGGAGGGATATACCACCATGGTTTTCCAGCTTTCGTCACCCTTTCCATACTCCCTTTAATATCCTATCATAGGGTCCCCGTTTCAATCCCCTTTCTTCCCTTTCTTGTTCCCCACAGTATCTCACGACAGAAACCTCTGTTTCTGAGAACATGTGTCTTTCCATTTAACCTACCTTCTTACACACACAAACCTGTGGGCCTCTTGTTTCACTCTTACCAGCACTCTTCTTGAGGTGGTCTTATACAAAAACCCTCTCAGACACCACCAGGATAACACCCCATGGCATCTTCTCCGTGTACTCCTTTCCTTCACTCCACGGTAGATGCTAAATAGATTCCCAATTCCTTCTTCTCCCCTTCTGCCAGGGCTCTCCTCTCTCCCCTCAGACTTGGGGCTCTTGAACATTCCCCTTCCAACTGTCCCTCCCACTTGCCCCCAAGTTTAATATCAACAGTAGACACTAATTACAAAAAAAAAAAAAAAAAAAAAAAAAAAAAAAGCCCTGTTAACTGACTGAAGCAAAGCTGTGTGTCAGAGCAGCTGCTGTAGTTTGACCTGAAAGCAGTTTCCAGAAATGTGCTGGGAGAGAAACAATTGCATGTCAAACGAGCCTGGTGAGAGAGCAGGAGCAAGGCACCACACTCATCCTCCCAACCCCAGCCTCAAGTCTTGGGCTATGCAACGCTCTGCATGAAGCACCACGGAAAGGCAGAGACGACCTGACAGCCAAACAGTCATCACCAAGGAAGCGGGAATATTCTATTTACAGATTCAGCCAATATATTATCTCCCTCTTCCCCCCGTTTAAGAGCAGACAAGAGTTTTCATGGCTCATTCTTCCTAGTGGTTTCCTGTTCAGCTACTAAACCCAGAGGCTCAGAAGCCTAACAGAAAGGGGAAGAAGTGCTGGTGTCTTGCACAGCTCTCCAACATGAGATCTGCTTCTCCAGTTTGGATTTTTTTTTTCTTCTTACTGCATTGACTCAGCAGAGCTCTGGGCTTCTTTCTTTTTAAGTGTTCCCACCACCAAACCACAGCCTTTTGAAGATACAGCAATTGCCAGTTTCACTGTACTCAGAACAGCACTTCCGACTGAGCCAAAAAACTAAGTGTAGGTGTTGCTTGCTCGTAGGCAAATTGTTTACAACTCAGTTTTTTTGGATCGATGGAAAAAAGGAACTGCAAATCTCCTTTCTGAGTTAGAGTGAGTGAGCAATGAAATGGGTATATTGCCCGTTAACAAGCAAGACAAAAAAAAAAACACCAACCCACTAGCAATCATTTAATGCATGACAAGCTTGATGTGTTGTCTCCCCCTGCCTACGGCAACAAGTCTCCCGTAAGAAAGAGACAAAACAGAAAGATAAATACTCACGCATGTCACCAATCGCTCCTTTGGTGACATTTGTGGCTTTCCTTACTGTCACAGTGAATATGTGTGAATACTGGTGTTCCACCTGGAAGTCAGAGAGTTAGAGGTGATTAAGCTCCAGAACCAAAATCCACTTATCAAAATAGGTTTCATTTTGTCCAAAAACAGAGCGAGAAATCACCCAGTCAAAATGTAAGTGAAACTCATACTGGATAGAGCATCTTAAAGCTGAACTGCACCCTGTAGCTTTACTGAAAGGTCAGACCTTATACTAGGATTGCTTGATTTTCCTGCAGCCACACCTACTAATCTCAATGAATAACACTCCTCCTCTCTACAGAACCTGCTTTAAGGCATTCAGTCAGTCAGGGACAACCGGGTACTGTAAAAAGGAAAAAAAAATAAAGGGGGGTGGTATGGTACAGTGTGCTTGTCTTTGTAATTAGCTTCCCCCTGCTTAAAAAGAATGGGTGCAATTATTTTGGAGTATATGTTCTGGAACAGATACATGCATATTGCACACACAGGGAATACAGTCAGTAATGCATGGACTATACCTCTTCAGTACACATCAGTATTCTAAGTGAAAGTGTCCTTAAGACAATGGAGGGAAGGTGAAAAGCAAGCTGTTAAAACATTCGTAAGCAGATTTCATGCAATTTCTGGAGCTTCCTGTTTCCTGCAAAGCCCAGGCACACAGAAGGAGCTGCCTTTCTAAGATCAGGTCTGCCCTAAACAAACTAGGGAAGTTAAAAAATACATGAAATCAACAAACAAAAGTAAAAACCTTAATGAAAAGAGGTCAGTAACTCACATCTATTGTTGCTTCAACCTACTGAATACCATTATGAGAATCACCACTGCATATTGCAAGGCATTGGACTTTACAGGGACACAGCAGAGAGCTTGTGGGGAAGTTATAGGTCTTAGAGCCAGGATCAGGATCTCAGCACTTACATTTACACTGCTATCTGAAAGCCAGCCTCAAGCCACTCAAGCTGACAGTGCCCAGACATTGACTCACACGTGGGTACAACCTGGAGGGCACCAGCTCGCACTCCTGCAACAGAAACTGGGGCGCCGGGAGGGGACCCCCTCACACCTGAGCTCTGTCTCCACACAGAGCATCAGGGCCAAGCTGCCCGGCTTTTACAGCTCAAGCCACCGTATCAAAAGTGCACCTCCAGGCCTAACATACACAGTGATACACCCCAACCTCAGGTTTCCATTTCTAAAATCGATACAGTGATATCTTCTATCTTTTCCTAACCACCCATTAACTTTGTGACATACATTAATATAAACACTGCATATCGGTCATTGGGACCAAAACAACTAACCAAATATTGAAGGTCTTAAAAAATATTCCAATCAGAAGGAAAAGGGGGAAATACCAGAATCAGGAAAATCATTGAAGTTTATTTAAAATGATAGACAACAACCTTGATAGGGACATGAGACACACTCATTCAGTCTGTGCCTGGTGCTCTCTTGCTATGTTTTTCACCAGAATACTTCCCCCCCCCCCTTTTTTTTTTATGCTAATTAAAGGAACAAACAGACAAACCAACAAAACCCTTCAACCCATACGTGGCTTAGTTTTCAATAGTGACACATGCCTCCATTTAAGCTACTGCTGCTTCAACTGCCAGACTTTATAAGGGCCTTCAGGTGGTTCTCATAGCTATTTCGGAACTGGTTGTTTCAGCTAAGCCTCATTATTTCACATCTACAACATGCTTACACCCAAAGACTAGAACCAAATTAGATCCCTCTAATAAACAAAAAAAAAAAAAAAAAAGTTTCTTATAGGTTATATATAATTTTCTCAAGAAAATAAAAAAGCCAAACCCAACCTTCTAAAGACAGCAAAAGTGGCTTGTGAATGCTTAACTAACAGTTAAGTCAGGACACATTAAAAAACAACACAAACGATACCAACACAAACTCCTCCACAAGTCTGTAGTCTAGAGGTCTTCAAAGGCACAGCCACATCACCATGGCACAGTATCTAGGAGAAAATGCCCACAGTAATACTGAGGGTATGACTTCACTGCACACATTGGCTGACCCAGACACTGAATTGTTGCATCTTTATTAAGGCTGTAATCACCCACACGTTGTGATGACTGCTGGAGCTCATTTCATGATAGTCTGCCCAGCAGTATATTTCAACTCTGTAATTTTTCCCCTGTAAGCTGTAGGAGTTGTCTGGTTCAAAGAACAAGTAAGCAGGCAGGGGGAAAACCATGGCAGTGTAAACTGTTACCTTACAAGTGGTATACTGAAATCGTCATTGCACAGCAAGTGGTTCACCAACCGCAGTAAAAATGGAATCCACACTCTAACCGAATATCCCAGCCGGGACTGTTAACTCACCTCAGAAGTATCAAACCCAACAGAAAGGGTTTAGATGTGCGAATTCTAAGTTGTTAAGGAGCAACACCTATTTAACAGCCTGCCTTGTGCTGACGTGAAGACATAGCAGTAATTTTGTGACATCCATCACCTTCTGCATTGCAGCTTCCGAGAGTGAATGGATGAATGGGAAGGAGGATGGGACTTCCTGAATAAACTTCTGCTTCTGCCACATGGCAAAAAAAAAAAAAAACAACCGTGAGAGTTTTCCATCATGGCAGGGTAGATGGGGATTTTAGTGAGTATCTGGGAACAACTACTACTGTGAACACAGCTCCATAAATTTACTCCAGCTCTGTCATTCTCCCTGCTTTAAGAATTTTTACAAACTGGATCTCCAGAAAGCAATGACTCTCACTGTCCCTTATTTTCAGTTTGCTTCCTGAAAGTGTTTGAAGCTGTTTTATCAGCTTGTGCCACCTTCACACACGTCGGGTCCCTGAAGTGTTGGTTTCACAATGCAGCACTGGCCTCAGAGTTTGTTCACACAGACTGTAGTTCCTTCGTCATATACAACCTTATAATTAAGAGAAACAGCCCAAAGTACAAACACACCACCCTTCTCATTCTTAGCTGTTAAGAAAGAGCCTGTCCTCACTAGATACCACAAATCAGAGATCACTGAACATTTAGCAACAAAGAGAAGGATGGAGTTGTAATTAAGTTACAAGTATGGGACCTGGGCATGCTGGATTTAGTTCTCAGCTGCTATATGGAACTCATGTGCAATTCCGGTGCCCCAGAGTCCTGGCTATAAAATGGGGATAATAAGATGCTCACTGACAAAAAGCACTTCTGTAAAGTAATTTCTTGCATCTCCTAGTCCTACTCATGAAACTCATATGCCTAAATAAATGCCTACCACCAAAACAAGGCCAAACCACCACTTACTAGTGTATTCTCATTACAGCAGTATAGAGATCATCGATACTTTCTATTAAGTTCACAACTGTTCTGCTAAACTATCATGAGAACTGTTTTTTATAGACCTAAGAAGCAAACCTCGTCATTCCAGCTGTTGTTCTGCCAAGAAAGTTAAGTCTGGTTTAAGGTGTGGTATCCCCTGAAATAAATGAGAGTACATAGAGGTCTGGCAAAACAGAAAAACATTATCTTCTCTCCCCACACCTCACGCAAAATAACACACTGAGGATTATAATCACAGAGTTATTAATATTTGGCCATAATCACAAGCCTGGAAGAAATTTGCAAACAAAATAAATAATCTCCCTCTTAGTAAAAAAACAAAATACACAGAGATACACAGGAAGCTTAAAAGTCTAGATCTTTTCTTACCCCAAACAAACGTTTTCCATGCAACTCAAGTGCAATCGGAAATTAAGGCAATTTTCCACTTAGGATCCAGTTTCTAAGGGTATTAGAAGGCCTAAATGTCTCTATTAACAGCTAGCACAACTTTGAGAAATATTTTTTGGTTAGTTTTTGGAAAGACTGAATTCTAAAGATGTCCCCTGAAGATACCACAATAAATGTATCGACTCTGAATATCTTTATAAATCCAGCCCTTGCTAGTTTCGATGACTAAGCTCCATTTTCTAAAGTGACTTATGTTCACCTTAAGTCTTGATAAAAATCTGTACATTGCCAACTCCTCAATTCTGAAAAATAGACGATGGTATATAAATCACTTAAACATTGCAACACTGAGTGAAGCAATAACTGCATACCTTTAAAAAAATCTAAGCCAGGTTAAAAATTTCAGAAGCTCACAATTAACTCGGAAACTTAAATCCTATCATCCAAAGTGACCTAGCTTTACATCTGTGTTTCATTTCACTTCCTCTTTCTCTATAAATTTAGAGAAGGAGAAAAAAAGAAGTTTTCAGTATGCCCTCTCCGAACATGGGTTTTCTGAATTAGGGAAACTCCTGTGGACAGTATTCACTCTGCTGGTTCAATCCACAAGGTTTTCCAAGTATCCTGCACAACCATGGCTCTCTTGTTCTCACATCACAGATCTCCATCTCTTCTAACTCCTCTTCCTCCCTCCTTTGTTTCTCTCCCACTTTTGACTGCTTTTTTTTTGCTCCCAGCAAAATTTCCCTAATTATCTGATTTTCTCTATTTTACATATTGCTGCATTTTTATGTACATAAGCACCATCACCTTCCCATGACGGGACAGGGAAACAGAACAACACGCAACATTACATCTCCTGTAATACAATCAGGTTTTACCTACAAACTTTCTGCACTTAGTGAGAAAGCAAGGGATTTGCATGCATTGACTATAATATTTTTCATATCCCAGAATGCTGAGTCACAAAACGTAACTCAATCAGGAGATACACTTGCAGACAAAATACCAATCAGGAAGCTCTGGAGTAGATATATTGTGTAATAAGCATTTATTACTTTTACTTCCTTAACATTAAGGACACTTGAGCTGACAACTGGACTGCACAAATGAGAAAGTTTGCCTGTGTTCTTAAGGAACAGATTTTCATAAAGTCCATGCTCTTCTTTCACAGGGTATTACAATCAAGACAAACATTTGTACCTACACACACATAAATTTTATCCTGAAGTGATTTTTCCTGTTATAATTTTTAGCCCCCATATCAAATGTAACTGAAGATGTATTACACATCTTAATTCTTTATTCTCTAAATTTAAAAGCATTTTTGGTACAGTTAGTTGTCTGTAACTACGGCAACTTTGTGAACGTCTTATTTTATTCCTCTAAGTCTTTCATAAAATGAGGGAAAATAAAGAAGAAAAATAAAGAGATTGGAAAACACATAATAGTTAACAGAAGGACTTTTGGAAACGCAGAATTCTTTTGAGTCTTTTGATGCCAAATGTCATTAAAAATTCAACATTTTTTAAATTGACATGAGCCTGCTGCCCTTGACTGTTTTAAGTTTTAGTAAAACTTTCAGTGCAATTTCAATTTTCGAATTAACAAACCTCAAAGTTTTCCATTCTCTTTTCAAGCAATTATAGGATTAGCTCTTGCATTAACAGTGTTCCTTCCTGCATCAGCAACATTCCCACAGCAGCAGTTCAGCATTGCCATAGGGCTGTAACTATATATACTTCTAAGGCTCCATTTTGTCCGTTATGGTGTATATATATTGGTATCAAAAGAGATCTTTTATGCGAATGATTCAATGAAGTATAACTGAGTACCTCAGAGACCTCTCCCAAAAGGTACAGATCAGATCAAGCATTCCATCCAGCAGAGGGCACTGATGCAGAAAGGAGTAAATTAGTGTATTTTTAAAACACTGTTAAATACAGACATCAACCTGAAACTTGTCTTTACAGCAGCGTTCACAGAACTAGAGAGTGAGTAAAACACAAGTTTGACATCTGCTGGCTGCAAACTCACGTAGAGGATGTGACTGCGTGGGGTGGAAACCACATCATTGATAAGAGATCATTTCAAGGAAGCATACACTGTATTTTTAGCAACGTAAAAGTTCAACATTATGACAAGCGTATGGTAACTATCTTTGAGTACACACCACTTTTCCTGCTGTGAGATTCTGGGACTATTACGAAAAGGGCCTGATATGAACACACCCAGCTTATTTGAAGATTTCAGTCTGAGTAGGAATTGCAATTTCAGTGTTTACTTTGGAAAGTCACTCAAGCAAAGGTATGTATGAATATTACAGCCAAAGGCCAGCATTCAACAAGCTGCTGAGCCACTCCGCTGGCCTGCCATCCAAAGGGCAGCTCTGTACCCTTCCCTTCAGCCAGCTTTGACAGCAGAGAACGAATCTTTTGCATTGAACATTTTTTCTGCCAATTCAGCAAGGTCAATTGGCTCACTCCAATCATGCACATTTGATACCTAGTACAAAGGGATGCAGCAGGAACACTGGAATAAAGCGGAAAGGAAGGAGCAGGAACTTTTGGCAGCAGTGTGCTGTTGAGCTGCACAGATAATTTCACCGATACCTAGAGTTTGCAGGCTGTATTTTGAAGATCCTCTGTGAAGCAACATCACTGATACACCCTAGTTTAAGATCTGAGTATCCAAAATTGCCAGCTTAGCCCACTACCCATACTGACGAAAAGGGAAAAGTATTACTCAGTAACTAGATTTGTACAAAAACAATCGTACCCTATGGGAAAAAGCTAGACACATGACATACTTTTGTAGACTACAGTTAAGTTTGACAATCAGTGTGTGGAAAAACGTGTATGAGACAGTCAACTACAGGCACTTTGATGAAACACATTGAACAGGCAAGTCCTTTAGAGAGATACCCTATGGCATCGTAACCGTGAGGTTGTTAGGAGCCCGTATTCCATTTTGACTTACACAGGAGCAACTACACTCAAAGACTTGACAGGCTTTCAAAAAGCTAACCTGAATCTTTCACATTTCATTCAAATATATTTCTGAAGACATTTGCTCTAACCACACTTACCATTTCTTTAAGGAATTAATGCTCACTCTAACGCTGTGTGCTTGTTTAGAGTACCTTCTAACAGGACACATTATACAATACAGTATGTCTAATACAAGATGCTGTACACAGAAGATTCAAAGCTACTTACCACAATGTGTTGATAAGGATCTATGACGGACATTTTTGCCTTATTTTTTATTCAAGACAGCTGTCAAATGTCTATTTCAATTCTATACAGAAGAGGCTTCCCAGTCTTTCAAAGCAGAGTTCAGTATGACAGATCCTTTAACGCTATTAAATGAAGAAAAAAAATATAATCAAAATTCTTATGTTCCTTTTAAACTATATTTTGTAACAGAGCAAATTAGGAAGGTTTCCACAATTCATTTACCAAGAACTTAATTTCATACAAGCTATAGAGGTATAGATATTTACTTGCCTGAACTATAGAAATTTCTTGTGCTTACTTCCTCTACCTCAGGGTAAGAGCACAAACCAAATATCTTGAATTCCAGTCACTCAAGCGTTTCTAGCAGCTCTACAGATAAACAAAAGAATAGAGTGATTCCATTTATCTATTACATACACTCAAATGTATATGCTTCCATGCATTACAATCCTAGTTTTAAAAAAATCAGTACTTAGTTAATAGCCTTTTTATTGTAGTGACAAATTCTTGGTTCCCATGCTTTGCTTCTACATTAAGATGCTCATATAGTCAGGACAGGACAGAGATGAAGCTCCTCTTTGTATCCTCCTCTCTGTACAAGGATATGTCCTGCACTCACATCAAGGGACATGAATTTTAGAACTGAAAAGCCAGTTGGAGAGCACGTGCACAACAGTCAGCAACTTGCACCAGACAACTGCAACCCTTCACAGTAAGGGTCTGTTTAGCCATTTTAACGCAGCTTTACATACCACCTTTATTTTGAAAGCTTTTTCCACAAACAGCAAATTCCCAAAGTCAAACCTAACCGTACCTAAGGAAATAACAGAAAACAAATTCCAGCATCTAATCTGCAGCAACAGCACAGGGGAGTTCATTTGGCAGCAGCTTATTTGACTATAAAAGAGCAGCAATAGTGCCCTCTGTAAGCCTGGGAAGGGAATTCCAACAGAAGTAGTGTATAACCTCCCTGGCCACCCCGGTTGTCTAGAAATCCACAAGAGGGGCAAACTGCAAACCAGCTGGCAGGGTTTCAGCAGGTTCTTCATAGGCCACTGTTTTCTGAACATTTTGTGAAGCCTTCTACTGAAATCAGGCACCACCAGAGGCCTTACAGTTCAGAACTGTTTTCAACCATCAATGTAAAATATACTAAAAGAGGATATTCCTTTCTGCATCTGTAAAACTGATGCAGAACTGATGCAAACTGCTGGACAGGCTCAGTTCTCATATTCAGCTGGACCATGGCCAGACCTGAACCATCATCAGAAGCTTCAGAGTGAAAAGAAAAAAAGCACCATGTGGGGCTTGGTCCCAAGGACATGATTCCTAGTTCTCGATTTTGAAAGGGCAGAATAATGTCACTCCCAAACCCCTTGTTCTTCAGCAACTACGTGCAGGCATTTCCATAAAAATTTTGTTTCATTATGATCACTATAACATTATGAGATCCCTTCTTTAATCCTGTCAGTCCTAACAATAGCTTGAGGCTAAAAATCACCCTGGTTTTATTTATTTGTTTTTATTTAAGGAAGTCTGAATAAGAAAGACTTTAACATACATTCAGTTCATAGTTTTAATTCAAGGCAGCTCAATGCCAGGGCAACAGGAACAAGCCATCTTTACCACAGAAAGCAAGTAGCTTTTCAGACTTAAATGAAGATCTCGAACACAGAAATATACCATTATTTCTCCTACCGCTGTAATAATTGCAAAGATTTATTTTTATTAACATTCCCTTAGCCAAATTCAGCAGTGGCATAAACAGGCAGATGGGAGAAAAGTAACACTGTGTTTACACATATTGTATAGCTGGTTTGTTACGGTCAAGTTTATTTTACTTTGGGTCCTACTTAAAGTAGGACATTGGAGAACCTTGGTAAACAAGCCCTGCCGTATCAGTTTTTGAGGAACTGTTGCAAACTTCAACGGCAATCCAAACAAGGGAACAGTGAGGGCTATCCAACCACTGTAATGAAAAGGAAATTTGTAAGTCATAAAACAGAAAATACACCATTTCGCCTAACTGCACAGTCAACTAACAACAAGTTACCATGCTCATTTTGAGAAGATACACAAAACCAAGCTGGGGATACTGCTCTACCTGCAGAGATAAGAAAATGGGTTAGGCCTAGGATGAGAAGCCTGGTTTGAGTTATTTGTCTAGCGTCCTAGAGGCAGAGTTCCAGTTCTCCAGATGATCACTCAACTGGTTGACTGACTTAGACCTGAGATCAGCCTCTGCTTTCCAACAACCCCCGCCTCATTTATTTCATCATCTGCAGGAAACACATTTGTGATCCTGCAAACAACAGTCTCTTTGACTACAGAGCCACGATGAATCCCCAAGCACCATCTGTCCTCCATGTTGAATGAGGCAAAGATCATGCAAACAGACAAATATGCAATCACGTAACTAACAACTGTATCACAAACACACATGCAAAAACTGCAAGCTAAATACATACGGGCAGAGTCTCTGAATAGGGAGAAAAGGGCCAGGGAGCAAGCAGACCCCGATGTGATACGCAAAGCCTAATATCCTGGTTTTCCATACAGCTCTAACCAACAGCATGAGGGATCCCAGCCCTAGTCATGCTGGTATTACTCCAAATTGGAGCTCTCGGTTTGCTGTCTTAATCCCACCCTTTCGGAATGCGATCACCAGAGGCAGGTACCCAAAGAGAAGCATCCAGTGCCATTTCAGACATGTCGGTGTACCTGAGGCACCCCGGGGCTGGCAGACTGACAGGTATCCATGCTCTGCCAGAAGCCAGCAGGACGTCTTAACTGGTAGCAGGTATCTATGTTTAAGTGACCTGAATACTTCTGTCCTTTACAGTGGATTTAAGTCAAAGCAGAGTTACTTGACCCTAAAATAGTTACACCACACCCTTTGCAAGTTTGCACTACATTAACAATGGAGTTGGGGTTAAGCACACTAACATATTTCTACATCTAAAATCTTAGGGTGGCAGAGGAGCCAAAATACAGCACTAACAGAAGCTGCCTATCATGCCCATCAAGAGCTGCAAAGAAAGTCTTGAAGAATATTTACTTCAAACATCAACAGTAAATAGGTTAGTGGTCCCAAAATTATCTCACTTAACACTGCCACAACACAGCATCCAGCCCACAAAGCCTAATGGAAAAATCATCAATTAAGGACTGTAGCAAAAACACATACAAAGAACTGAACTTGTCTTGAAGCTGGTGGCAGGCCAACCCATGACAGACTGCAGGGGAAGCAGTGCCTCTAAGCAGATCTTCAAGGACACTTTAATATTATTAACATGTATTGTTTTGTTTCCCCAAGGTCTGGCGGTATCGCATCGTCTGCGAACTACGCTGTTCCCAGGGCTGATGGCGTTCCTTCCCAAAGGACTAGCAAAGCACCTCGCAGGCAGTGCCTCACAGCAGAAATTCTGTCAATTCATACAGTATCACCAAAATTAACTAAGCTGGCCAGACCAATTAACAATGTGTAACTCGATCTTTTATGGTCGATTTATAAACCTGTATGTTTGTCACAGTTTACAAAATACCATGGCCACAGTTTAGCTCGGTCGTGTAACAGAGAGACAGCTTTCTGCTAAATTCCTAATCTCACATTCTCCCAAAAGTGAATTCTACTTTTGCCAGCCCAAGAGCATTGAACTGTTAGGCACAGTTTCGGATATCAAAAGTAACAAGCTATTAGTGGACAGGTGGCTTTCTGTTTAAATCAAGACTATTCTGTGGTCTTAGCTCATTTTCGCTTGAGGTGACAGACTGAAATGGGTGAGGAATTATTGCCTCTAAAGACTGACAATAACAGAGCAATTCCACAAGAAGTTACACACAAACACACAGAGATTATCACTGGAACGTTTTCATTCTCAGTGTTGATCCAGTAAAATCCTTGATAATTCAGTTTTACAGGATATGTCGAGGACAAAGGACAGGAAGAATAATGAGATTTTCCCGTTTCATGCTGAGTATGAGCTTACTCCACAGTCTCACCAAGCACAAAAGCTCTGAAAATGACTAAAGCACAGTACAGTATAAATATCACCACTAAAATTTGTCCTCAAGATCGTAAGTAAAATCATAAAAGGGAGATTGTTTATATCAAGCTGGCCAATTCTTCTTAAAAATCAAAGAAATGGACATTTTTTTTAAAAAAAGTGAATAAGCACGACTCACCAGTACAGTCATTAATGCTCAGTCCAATATGATAAGAGTAAGGGGTACAGAATAAGCTAAGTACTGACTCAAGCTTTTGGTATGAATGTCACCATCCGTTTTTATCAAATCAGATTACAGAATTTTATTTGGTTACAGATTGATCCTGTGATTGTAGAACAGAAATAACAAATAATCTGTTTCTACATGATTCTGCCTAAGAATCATGGAAAATCCCTGTAATGTTATTTCTTAATTGAGGTCTTCTTCTCACACAAGAAAGGAGGATTACCTCTTACTCTGTGTAGAGTATCCATCACTCCATTTTCATCACAAATAAAAAAGTATATGCTTTGCTGATGAGCAATGACTGTTCTTCCCATGCCTTCTTAAGAGAGCATGGGTGGAAGGAAGGATTCTCCACAGAAAAGCAAAAGGCTCGACCTTTGTGCCACATTTTTGGAGGATACTCTGGAGTGAAGTTTGGCAAGGAAGTTGACACAGCATAAATAGCTAGACAGGAGATTTTAAGATTGGGAAACCACATCTGACTTCCTGTTAAAGGGGACATAACAGATGAAGAGATCGTAAACCTCTTTTTGAAAGATGACCTGTCAGCCTGTTAGCAATTCCTGAAACGAGAGGTGACACTGAGTAACTAAGATTTCCTTTCAGAGGAGGGAGAGCGCTATAAAATACCTTAGCAGGGCTGAAACTCCGGAAACCTCACAGAAATCTTGGGCAAGGTAAATTTACACCTTATCTAGTGATGGAGGCTACCTTAGAGGCCAAAAGCAAGGAAGACAGAAGTGGTAAAATAATCAGGCCAGTCCTCTATATATAGCTGCCAGCACCTCCTGGAGAACTCCATGTTATAGTAACCTCCTTGGTGAGTCGGGAAATCAGATATGCTCCTGTAATAAACTTAATTAAACTGGATTTAGTCCAAGAGAAGAAA